GAGGTCTGTGTGAAATTGACCGCAGGTGTAGTGTGCTTTGGAAAAGGATTTTTGGAAAGGCTTCAACTGCAACGGCAAGTTGACCTGGCTGTGCCCGGCATCGTACTTGTGGCAGGGTTTCTCCACAGGCTTCAGCAAATGATAGGAATGTGGGGCAGACATCCTCCAAGCTGAGCTTGGACTCAGCTTCCTGAGGTCAGGGGCCTGGGTTCCTGGCCCCTCGGCCCATGGGGAGATGACTCTCCACTGCGGCTCCTGGGGCCTCTCTTTCGCTGCCCCTGTCCCCCACCCCACCCAGACAGTGGTCCGAGGGGGTCGGGGACTCAGATAAAGACCCCAGATGTAGGTATCAGAACAGTTCTTCAAGTGGCATTTTGCCTATGTATCAGATGTCCGAGATAACATTTCCTCTTGGGCCTCTAAGTGGGAGGAAATTCAGATCTCCTCAGCTCCGGGGCATCTTATGCCCCCTGGACCACTGGGGCAATCAGGTTACAGAACCTAGGCCAGATTTTAGGGCATGCTCTCACCTGCCTGTGTCAGCTGTCGGTTCAGTTGGTTTTGCAGTAGCTTTTCAGAGCCACTGTGCCCTGTGACTGAGGGACTTGGTGGCTGCTCGGCTCTCAGGGTTACGACAGGGATAAGCGCTTCTCAAATTAACGTGATAAATAAGAGATGTACAGTGGCCGGACACATTCGCTGGCTTACCTGTCGAACCTGATTATCTGGAAGCTTATTTCTCCAGAGTCTTGGATTTCAAATTAGAAATATGTCTTCCCTTCCTCCCTCTAATTCCTTTCTCAAGCTTCAATTTGTCCATTTCCCTTAGGGGAATAATCCTCTTAAGCCCCATGCACGCTGTAGGAGTACATTTGCTTTGGTGAGAAAGAAAGGGGTTGCTGTAAAAATAGGTTGGTTAGAGCTAGCATTTCTAGGTGTTTACGAGCAGAAATCAAAATCTGTTTTGGCACTTACCATTTTCAATCCTATGAAACAGTTAAGTTACAGGTTGTTTTGATTATTTGTAATCAGATATATCCATTCTGATTCATAATGATGTTTATCCCTTTTTTCCTCCAAATTCTAACCCAGTGGAAGAATTTGATATACTATGCTATTGCCAGAAAGAGTAGACATTAGCTATTAAATAATTTTACCATTATCATAAGTCACCTACCATTATTAATGAGTACTGAATGCCCTAATATCCATCCCTAGTTCAGAACCTGAAGGGCCTCTGCCCCTGTGAGGTGTGTGTGAAAAGGGATCGACTAGGAAGGAAACAGATATTTCTGACGAACCTCAGTTACCCTCCCTATTTAAGCGGGTTAGTTATGTTAGAGATGGGAAGCCCCTAGGTGAGTGCAGTGTTAATCCAGCTGTGCACCACTGTGCGTCTTAGTCCGGGTTGTTGGAAGTGAGCACAGCCATGCTGAGAAGCCCCTTGAGACAGGGAAGGTTCTGGCCTCTGAGCCATTAGGGAAGGACAGTAGGGCACCCAGACGTGCTTCCCCAAAGAGGGGCCACTCTTCTAAATTTCACACAGTGATGTGTGTATTGACACTACTCGTTCTTCCATTCATTCATTCATCATTCACTCATTCCGCAAGCATTTACCAAGTACATTGCGTGGGCCTGGCATTGTTAGCCCCTGAAAATACCTAAATGGAGGGCATGTTCCTGTCTTCCAGAACCACCCAGTCTCAGAGGAGAGACAGTTACATCAACTTTTAACATAAAACAGTGTGGTCTGTACGGTGATAACCATACCCACAGGGTGAGATGGGGCACTGAGGACCCGAGGCCTAACTTTTTACACGAGGGTGTTAGGGAGAAGAAACAGAAGGCTCACAGCAGCCTTCCTGGTGGAGGTGGCATCAGGGCTGGATTCAGAGGCTAGATTTGGAGTTAGGATAGTGTTTGAGTCCTGGTTTTGCCACCTGCTGGCTGTATGACTTTGGGTAAGATACTCACTAAAATCTCAGTTTTGTCGTCTAAACAATGCAGGTTTCAGTGTTACCTGCCTCAAAGAATTGTTTAAAGATGAAGTGAAATAATATATGTAAAGTGCAAATCAGAGTGCCTGAAACAGGCCACGTTCACTAAAGCCAATAATCACCACTGCTGGCATCATCATCATCATCATCATTTGCCAGACCTTATTCACAGTGAAACATTGATTTTAATAATAAATTAAAATTTATTATTTTACAGATTATTATGTGAAGAGTTAATTAATTTTGTTGTATATAGATACCACAAAGAGAAGGAACTTTGACATTAGTTCTGATGAGTGCATTTGTGAACCAAACAGTTAATCCAAAAAAGCAAAATTAGCCCCTCCAAAAGTCACAAGTCCTTATAGCAAAGGAGCCTGAGAACCTGGTAGAAAATGTGTAGGATTTTTCTAGAGCAGTAGTTCATTATTGTTCTTTCTTAAAAATGAATTAATAACTAAATATTTTGAGCATTTCTCAGTTTTGATTCCTCATGTGTCAATATCAATAGATATAACCCGTGTAAACAAGATCTCTTGAGGGGTCTCAATAAATTTGCAGACTCCTAAGGGATTCTGAGACCAAGAGGATTCTGAGAACCTAAAGGACAAGATCTTCCCGGTACTCTTTCCCCCAGACTGTTGGACTGCAGGGAAGCAGGACAGCTCAGGCTGGCTGGCCTGTGTAGAGGACACCTGCAGGCGTTTCTTGACCAAATGTCAGTGAATAACACCTGCTTCCTCTCTCCCCAGGTCAGGGGCCTCAGCCTTAGCTGCACATTGGAACCACCTGGGCTATTAACAAATAGATGCCTGGTCCCACCCCTAGGGTCTGGGCTGTAGCTATAGCATATGATTTTTTTAAATCCCTAAGCGATTTTGATGTGAAGTCCAAGTTGAGAACCACTGTTGAAGGTAGTCAGTGAGGAGGTGAGTCGGCTTGGTAATGTCAGCATGTAGCAACAACAACCTTATTTATTTACTAATAGTTGCTGTTGAAAGTCTCAGGGAAGCTACATCAAATCCTTGTTATCAAAGTTAAAGCACTGATTTTTCCATAAAAAGGTTCAAAGCAAAACAAGACCAAAAAAATCAACAGCAGTTCAATCATTTTGCTGTTTAGGGTTTTTTTAGGTAGTCCGACACACTTTGTCTAAGCAAGGTCAGTTCTTAGCTGAACTCTATCAGTTCTCCTGGATCATAATGATATCGATCAGTGTCTCTGAACTGGGCCTCAGGATCCTCCTTGCATGGCAGCACTCACTCTGGAGGACTCACTGTTCCTTCTCCAGAGGCGTCCTCCTCATACTTTTCCCCATGGGCGCTGTGTGTGGATTATCCACAGAAGCTGGATTCCCAGTCTGGTTCCCATCCACCTCCCGCCTTTCGCCTCCACCAACCCCACCCCACTGAAGGATTTGAGTGTATTTAGAAAAATCCATGTTTCCTTTGTGTTGGAATATGGATGGCCAGTCTATAGCTGCAGGTAGTCTTAAAAATGAATACATTAATTTTTATTTTTAAAAAAATTTTTTTCAGATCAGTTAATTTCCAGATTTTATTTGTCTTCGTGAAATACAATCATATAGTCTGAAAATAATAACTTTATGCTTTCCTCTTTTCAAATCTTTCACGTCTTATTCACTGTTTAGAACTTTTAGAAGCTTTCTTCCTTAAATATTCATGAAAATAGAAGACATTCTTATGTCATTTGTGACTTTAGTGAGACAATCTCTAATGTTTAACTGTGAGAATAACAGTCGCTGGCTGTTTGTGCCATACTGAGAATATACTTTCCCATTTCTAGATTAATATTTTTCTATCATAAAAAGGACCAACTTGGTGCATTTCAAAGCCCCAACAGAAATTATTTTTATGCTCACAATCTCATTTTACCCAGAGTGAAATTTATTTGAGTAGTCAGCATTTATCTCTCTATATTATCACCATTTTGAACCTCATGATAGGTTGATAGTTACCACTGAAGGCGCTGGAATGTTTATCTCCATATTACACTTTACGATGCGTTATAAATTAAGAATGTTGCCAGTGAATATAGATATCACCAGTTTTAAATTTGAAATAACCAAGACTCCCGCTCTCAGTTCTGAAACCATTCCTCCAAGAGCGGATGTTGGAAGGAGGTGGGGAAAGAGCCCCTGTTTGGGGAGGTGGCCTCCGATTGCCAGGACCTCTCGAGGGTCAGCGTAGAGAGGAGTGTGGCATTTGGCTCATCGGACTTGTGAATAGAAGCCCTTTGGCCAGTGAATGTGCTCTGCCTGCCGCCTCCCCCAGTTCTCGGGACAGTAGCTTCTACAGAAGAGTGAGGCGGGTGCAGCTCCTGAGCTCCGGGCCACTTTGCTGTAACCTGTCCTCAGCGAGTCTAGTATCAGCCTTAGTGATAGACACCTGCTTAGACAGCAGGCAAATTGTGTTTTGTCTACAGTTTTTAAGCCATGTCCTAGAATATGGTTCCAGATCCCTCAAAGGCCAGGGAATGAAACGGGCAGCTGCTGGGTTTGTCTTGAGAATGGCCTCCATCTATGCCAAATCCTGCCCCAGGAGGCAAGTGTGGTTCCTCCCCCTGCCCCCCAGGTAGTTTCTAGGTTCAGGCCCAGGCAGGGGTGCTTTGTCACCTCCCTTCGTAGGACTTCACATCTGCGAAGTTTCGGCAGCGTGTCACGGCCTCGTGGCTAGCTGTGCCCCTCCTGCCTCGACACTCAGCCTGCGCTCGACTCAGCTCCCGGACGGAGCATCTGCACAGCGTGTGCTCTGTCCTGACTAAAAGACGAACTAAAGCAACGGACAGAAACTAAGGTGCCAGACCATAGTGACTGTATGGACAGTAAGGACCGTAAACCTCAGAAGCATCGTGAGGGAGGGGTGTGTGTACGTCTTGAACCCGTGCCTGTGTGTGAGGGGGACGGCTGGCTGTGTGGGTCGGTGGCTGGCTCTGGGTCTGTCCTTCCACCTCTGATGCCATCTTCCCGAAACCCTCCCGCAGGCTCTGTCCACGCCACGTCGGTAGCAGCCTCCAGAGTGGAGCAGGCACTGTCGGAAGTAGCGTCGTCTCTGCAGAGCAGTGCCCCCAAGCAGGGCCCGCTACACCCCTGGATGACGCTGGCACAGATCTGGCTCCACGCAGGTACCGCTCCGCCCCTCAACCCCACACCCACCTGCTGCTCTGCCAGAGGGGAGCTTGCGGCCTGGGCCGCAGGGTTTATACTGTCGCAGGGGCCAGAGATCTACACCCCAGACTTTCTTTGAGGGGGACAGCAGAGCGTGGTGTCCCAGACCCGACGGAGGTCTGGCAGTCCTGCAGCCTTGGAGTGGAGCCTCAGCTCTGCTACTTAGCAACAGCTGCATAGGCTGGAGGTGATAGCCTCCCCTCTCAGCCTCGGTTTCCTCATCCGTACGGCGGGGTCAATAGCATCGTCTCCTAGGGTTGGTGAGCACAGTGCCTGGCACACCCTGGTGGTGAAGTCTAAGAGACCCTGGAAGAGGGGCCAGGTGTCCTGATGACACAGATGTCTTTATCTAAGCTGACGGGGTGGGGGGGACAGCGTTTTGATGTCCGAGCTGTCCCTTCTGACGGCGCTCCTGGTAATCCTCAGAGAGCGAGGCAGGTACCAGCAGCTGCCGGACTGGAAACTAGCCCAGAAGGCAAGGGTGACTGCCCCTCCCCCAGTTTCACATGGCTGCTTCTGCATAGCTAGGGAGTCGCCACAATAAATCCAGCCTGCAGACATTTTAGCAATGGGAATCCCACTATACAGAGCAGATGGTGGCTATTGATTTGCTTACATATTTATAGTTCCATAGGAAAGATAACTTCTGTTTCTCAAGTTTGACCCCTTGATCTGCAAGGGCTTCCCAGGCTCAACTCTCAGGGTGCACGGCAAAAGCCCAGGTTTGGCTGCAGAAGTGCTTATTACCCACCACTGGCCATCTGTTTACTCCTTTTCTGCCAAGGCTAATTGTAGGATGTCCAACCTTGTTTGGAACCTTCGTGTAAGAAACACAATTGGATTTACCTAGGTTTGGCATGTCCCAGAGCCGAGCTCAAGTCAGCCACTTCCGTGTTGGCATCTTTAATTGAGCCAAAACAACCACTGTAAATAACAAATTATGTTCTTCTAAGCAGAAATACAAAAGAGGGATGATTCACGAATGTGCTGATTGTTCTTCCTGTGCAGATGCTGGCCAGCGTTCAGCCTCTTGCTGGGTTCTAGACAGGCTGACTCAAGGGCCCCGGGAACAGCAGTCATGGCTTCCTCTGCGGCTCTCTTGAAGAAAAGCTGGTCCCCAGTCTAGGACCTGGTGCCTGTCTTACTCAGTCGCCCTCATGAGCAGTGACGGCAAAGAACAAAAAGAGAAGGGGTTCACTTTAGTGTCCAGGCCAGGTGAGACTGGCCGAACCTGCAGGGCTAGTAGGGGGGCAGAGTTGTCCTTCAAAATGGGCATGAAGTTGAGTTTTTAAAGGGCCAATGTCTACGAAACCACAAGGGCAGAAGGTGGTCCTTCTAGGCTGGAAGCAGCTCCCTTGACGTCCCAGGCATTGTTTCTCTCGCTTGTGGCTCGGAAAAGCTAATGACCTTGGTGAGGGTCACTGAGTTCCAGGACCGCTTTGCCCAGTGGCTTGCTGCCCCTCACTCAGTTATCCAGGCTTTGCTCCTCTTGACATGACCCACCATGACTCTTGGGAGGAAATTTTGTAGCCGCTTATTAGAACATTGAAGAACCCGGCAACTAAGATTCCTTTCGGAGTTATCCTTGAAGTTTTATTAATCGTGTGACATCCCTTTCTCATTGCCATAGCCTATAGGACAGAATAAAGCTCTCATTGCTATTAATGCCTGTGGCTTTTAACATTCTACGAGTTGGTGGAATTGAATTCTGGAAATGGAATATCATACTTGCCTTAAACTCCAGGCAGAATATAAAACCCGCTTATATAGTATGAATGAATGAAGCAAATTATAATCTTTATAGGATTGGTGCTATATTGACTCTTTCAAAGCACTGACTTTGAGTCAAGATTAGAAGTGTATCGTATATTCAATATGGTCTTTGAAGAGGTAAACTCAGAAGGAATTCATAAAAGAAGCTTCCACGGAACTGTAAGGTTTTACCATAGGTGGTTTGAGCTTTACTGCCCTGGGTGACAAACTAAAAGTGACTCACATTTTTTGACAACTTATGGAAACCAGGTAACATCTGCGTCCATTGTCAGCTCTAACAATACTGCCAGATTCTGTAAATGTCGCAAGCTTTGGAAGAAACTAGATCAAGGCCTCACACCCAAGGCCATGTTGTTTCTGTGGCGTTTGTGGGTCTCTTCTCTCCTGGTTATTTTTTCTGGTGAGCTGAGTGTAGTGGGAGCTTGTGGTGGAGGCCCGTGCTGGAGGTGGCCCCAGATTTGAGGCTGGCAGGTAAGGCCACTCTGAGACGACCTCAGATTTCCAGTCTATTATATGAGCAGGTCCCTGAGCCACTTGTGTGTCATTTGAGTGGCAAAGAGATCATGACTGGGACACCTGAGCCTCTGGCTGCTCTGTGAGGAAATCAGCCACAGGCCCAGTGGGGAGCCCAGACCCAGGAAGTCCAGGGATGCTTGACCATCCGGGGTCCCTCCCGTCCTGTGTGGTGGGACCCATGCCCTGGGCGCCCCTTCCCGCTGTACCTCTTCCTCCTTCCTGGACACTTCTGACCCCAGGGCCTCAGGCTCCTCACAGGATACCTGGTGGCCAACTGGCATGGGTTGTACATGTTTTGTTGCTTGGTTTGTTTGGACCCATGTGACAATTTTATTTAAATTATTTTTGAAAAAATAATACGTGCACATGATACACAGTTCAAAAGGCACAAAAGACGTGAAGTGAGAGGCTTCCTGCCATCCCGAGTGTCAGTCACACTCCCCCACGGCAGCCACCGTTAGTGTGTGCACACCTGCCAGGGTGTAACCCTCGCTGGAGACCGTTGCCTGTCGGCACATCAGAGAGTAAATCCATTGTATGATTTTACCATAATTTAACCAGTAGCCCACTGATTAACATTTAGATTATTTCTAGTATTTTGCTGCTACAGACAATGCGTCAATGAGTAGCCGTTGTATAGATTGCTCTGTACCTGTAAGGTAAACTCCTAAAAGTGGAATTGATGGATCAAAGGGTACATACCCTTTAATTTTGGTAAATTTTGTCACATTGCCTTCCACAGAATTGTGCCAGTTTGCATTCCAGTCAACAAGGTGAGAATGCCCATTTTCTCACATTCTCGATAACACAGCAAATTATCAGACTTCAAGATCTCTGCCAATCTGATAGGTGAAAATGGTATTTCAGTTGTCTGCTCATGGCTTCTGCCCATTTATCTTCTTAGATACTGAGCTTTTCTTTTTGAGTTGTAAGCACTTATTATGTGTCAAAGAAATCTGCCTTGTGCCATATGTGCTATAAGTATTTCCCCCCATTTTAATTTTGTTTGTGTTTTGGGGTTTTGTTCGGGGTTTTTTTGCCAAATTTTTTTTTTTTACATTTATCAATCTTTTCCTGGGTATCACATGATACTTAGAAAGAAACTACCCATTTTTGTGGTCTCTTTTCCTGAAAGTTCCAAGTATCTTCTAGTGCCATTTGTATATACACCATCTTATAAAGAAGGTCCAAAGGGTTCTTTTTCTCTGTTATGCAGAAGGGAAACCCAGGCCAAACAGAAGCCAGCACCTCTGTGGTTTCACTGGGCAGGAGTCAGGTGAGCTGAATTAGAGCATTTGATGTTTGTTGCACCTTGAGACATATCTCCCTGGGAGACATACATCGTTTTCTTTAGAATGCACACCTTATCACTGGCCTTCGGAAATTCATACATTCACAGTCATTCAGAGTTGAACCAGGGCCTTTCCCAAGCCAAGCAGCTTCTTGGTGTCCATCCTTCAATTTCCACTTCTGGGGTGGCAGCTAAAAATGACTTTGCAGTAGGTGGATAATTTCTGCTTGTTACTTACTAATAATTATAGCTTTCACTTTGGCATCTCTCACCGTCGAAACCAACGGCTATTCTTAGATGTGCAAGATCAGATTTTCTGATTTCTGCTGGGAATGTAAAGCTGTGATACTCTCACAAATTCCTTGGCCCTGGCTGGCCTGTCCCGTTTGCCCTTCCCCCTGCTAGGTTCCTCCCAGCCACCGGGAGGCTGCATCGGCAGGGTTGAAGGATAATCCTGTGGCATGGCCATCATGACAAGATGAAGACAGCTCCCAGACAGGTGGCGTGAGGGTCACTGCACAGGGAGTGCTTGCAGGAGGGAACATGTGGTACCCAGGGGTCAGGCCTGACCTGACACGGTGCCAGTCTCTGTGGGTCAGCCCCGCCAGACCTGCCCCTTCTGCTGCCCTGGGAGGTTTTTTTGATTCATGGTCTACAACCTGCAGGTAGCTGACCTTTACCAAGCACCGTGCATGTGTCAGACCTTATCCTAGGACTTTATGTGTCTTAACTTGTTTAGTCCTTGTGATAGCCATATAAGATATAAATACCCTTTAATCACCCCATTTTACAGATGGAAAAACCAAGACACAGCTCTCACGTCACCTGCCTAAGGTTACATGACTAATAAGTGGAGAAACCAGAATCCAGACCCAACCAGTGTGGCCCCAGAGCCCCAGCCCCTGCCCAGGGCAGGCACTCGGCTATGGAGCACGCACCTGTGAGCATCTGTTTATGTGTGTCATCAGGGCGAGGCTCTGGAGCTCAGTGGTCAGCAGATGGACACAGGCTCTGCCTTCATGGAGTTTACAGATGCGAAACATAACAATTGCAGAAGCACTTAATTCCACGGTGCCGGGTACCCCGGAGCAGCAGTGTGGGCTCTGGGAGAACTGGGAACAGAGGTCCTCCGCAGCCAGGACAGGAGGAGGCCTGAGCACGTGGCAGGCATAGGACACACATGGACAGGCCTGTGGGCCACGTGAGCCCTGAGGTTAGAGAAATGGCAGGGCCACAGGGCATGAAGCCTAGAGAGGAAGAATCGCGTGGCCAAGGTGAGGCCAGACGAGCCAGCACCCTGGTGACCAGGTCAGAATCTCTTCCTAAAAGCACTGAAAAGCTGTTGAAGGACGGCAAGCGGGGGGGGATGAAAGGATC